GGGGGGGGGTATCACCGCACGTCCGTCAATTCCTATCGCGGTAAATGCTCGATCGAGGAGGAGGAAAGCATAGTGGCATTGTCGCTTCTAGCGGAACGTTAGGCTTATTCCCATCACAAGAAAAAGTAACGGAAAACGTTCCGAATCGGTCCTTTAAAAAAATGCAGGGAGGCATGTCGACGATTTTTTTCGTGTTTCCGTGAAACGAGCAAGCAGGTTTCTTTTCGTGCTTGCTCCATTAGCGGAAACGTGAAAAAATCCGAGACTTTGACTGACGGACCGGGCAGGCGACCGCGGCCGCTATAATATAATAGCACCACTTAGAGTGCTAGTAAGACTGCAAGACTTGTGTCCAGGCCTATTGCAAAGATGGAGAAGCGGCAGAAGCCGCGTTCAGGTCGTCGTTTGTCCAAACCGAGTCATTGCGTGGTGCTCTCGTCTTCAACTGCCGCTGTTGACGGGCGGGTATATCTTCCCACCCCACACGACAAACACGGACACAGTAGAGTGAGCACAGCAGCAGCGCCGAGGCCTCCAACGCGCTGATTCCTTCGGTTCGGCTGTCTATGTAATACTCACTCCCGGCGCCGTGCTGCTTCGTGGGTATTGGGGGCTTGGGTGCTGTTCAAGAAGGTGTGTGAGAGACGTGTGCCACATCACCAAACTCCCGTTCGAAAAAATGCGGTGAGATGGCCTGTTTTTGGTCGGACACAGCCCAACAACCCCACCGCACCACGCAGCAGTGGAGCAATAGGGCCTCCGACACGCTGCTTCTTTCGGATCGGTCATGTATATGATACTGGCTCTCAGCGCCGCCGCCGCTCTATGATTGTTAAGGTCGTCTACCTCTCGGCAGGGAGTGGTAAAAATAGGATGCCACGCTCGGGTCACCATGGGGAAAATGAGCGGGAGGACTTAGAGAAATCGCAAGCAACACCCAGTTTGCGACACTGCTCCCTGCCCCCTGTGCTGAAAACAGCAGGCCGGGTGGACAGGGTCTTTACAAGTGTGTTGTCCTCTGTGGCTGTGTTCATTTTTGTGCTTGGACCGCCGCTCCATGGTGAGCAAAGTCGATTTGACCTGTTGTGCGCCAAGCAAGGCGTGCATTCAGCGCCAAGAAACGTTTTTTTCGGCGACATGATGATAAGAACAAGCAATAAACGCACCATTTTTTTGATTGACCGATCGGGGAATTATTGTCGCCGATTCGTGTTTTTGGGGGGGTCGAAAGGAATGGGCCTTAGCCCATCCGTCCATGATGCAGCTCCGATACTTGTCTGCGTTCGACGCACACAGCGAACACCGCCGCTCTGCTTCGTTTCACCTTCGCTACAACTTCTTCTGTCATTGCAAAACGTTTGGATACTGCTGTTCGTAAATTGATTCAACCCGCGAAAGGAGGGGTCCGGGGGAGAAGAAGAGGAGAGGGCGGCCACCACCACCGACGACGGCGAGACTGTGAGAGATGAATGGCTGTCGTCGTTCCTGTGCTGTTTTGTCTTGTTGGCGTCTGGTGCCTGTGCATGGCCTCGTCCTGTCCTCCCGTGTCTTGTCATGCACGTATAGGTTCCGTTGGCGCGGAACAACGCGCCAGGTGGTCGTCGTCGTGGTTGCTTTCGCTTTCTCGCCCGTTTAGGCTGTGTTGATACAGAACAAAGCGCCAATTGATTGTCGGCGTCGTTGTTGCTGTCACGTTCGCACCCGTTCCCACCTCTTGGGAGTACCTTGTAGTAGCCGCACTGGTCCGACTGACCGGGACGCCTTCGGTGGTAGCAGACTGTCCGCCGTAAAAGGTTACACACGTGTGTGAAAAAAATTCGAAGATTTAAGCGTGTGAGGGGTTGAGATTGCCTATTTGGGGTCATGGCTGAAAAGCAAGCCATGATCACACCCTTCCCCCAGTCAAGCCTTGGTCTTTTATCCCTGCTGTGGTGCCGACTTTAGTTTATGTTGGCACAAGCTTCGCCACTCGCCCGCTGTAGTCTAGACAGGGACGTTGTCTCCATTATCATGAATGGTGACGACTGGGTCACCAAGACCACCAGAGGGACAAAAAGTAACCACCTGTGTCGCCTGCTTGATGCAACTTTGAAATCTGGCACTGCATGCCGGTGACCCCTCCCCCTCCCCGGCTTGGTGCGCACATGGATGTATCCACTTGTTTTCAACTCACCAAACGCGGTAGGGGAAGAAAAGTTCCGCGGACACCGGTGCTGCAGCCGGTGGCAGCAGCGGCAGCAGCAGCAAGAAAGCGAAGAAGCAGAGCGATGGCTCCGGCGTCAGCAACAAGATAGAGGTGTGTAGGATTGGTCTGTTCTCGAGACGGTTCGGGGTTGTTGACGGCCCGGGCTGTTACTGTTATTCTTTGTCTCGTCGGAGGATCCTTTTTTTTTTTTCTTACAAAAAAATTGAATCTCCACCATCCGCAGATATGGTGCTTTGTTTGTCTTTTGCTGCCAGAGCTTTGTCGTGCTCTTCTGTCTCTCGCCACAAAGCTTCACTGATGCTCGTCAAACACTTGGCAAGCCTACTTGCTCTTTATTTTTTCTCTGTGCTTCCCCCGCCCCCCCTCCTTCCTGGCGCCAATGACGGTCCCAGTACCGAACATGCGCTGCGGTAGGTAGATGACATTTTGTAAATTGTCCACCCGTACCCTATCTGTCCCCGCCCTCTCTATTACGTTGATCACAATTTCTACCAGAACCCTTTCGTAAGTGCCGGATTTGAAGCGCGCTCCTCCCTTGGACGATGTCACCGCTCGACCGGGGGATTTTCATTTCAACCTATCTATGCAGAAATTTCCTTTCAGTGTACAATGACCAGTCCAAATACTTGGCACCTTTCCTCTTTTTTTTTTTTTCTGTTTCACGGAAGACTCTTTCGGTTGTTGTGCCGAACGCTGAAAAATGTTTTTCTTCCTCTGGTGCGCCGCGATTTGAAATATTTCTCCCAAAGCTCGGCAACAAGAAGTTCGTGGACGTGCGCGAGTTCAAGGGCAAGATTTACGTGGACATCCGTGAGTACTACGAGAAGGACGGGGAGATGAGGCCCGGCAAGAAGGGGATCTCGCTTTCCACGGAACACTGGGAGGTGGGCGAGATGTCAAAGACGCGTCGGCGTCGTCGATTTTTTGTTGCCAGTGTTGGTCTCTGTCGTTGTTGGCTGCATTGTTTGTCATGGATGCTCGTCGTCGTTGTCGCCATCGTCGGTTTTTGTTGCCGTTGTTGTTTTCTGCCTTCGCTACAATGAATGTCGTCGTGAGTGTTGGGTGGTCTCCTTGGCGTTAGAACGTGCCAGCAGTGTTACCCGTTCGCTATTCAATGTACCGTGGTATACACAGGCGGTGTGCTGTGGCGTTGTTTTTATTATTATTAGTGGTGCAAACAACGGTCAACATGCAGGTGTTGGTTGAATCATTCGAGATTGTCCACTCCTTTCTTCGTGAATGTGAATGTTTCATTCAACTCCATGGGCTCGTGCTGTTGAGGTACACCGGCACACACACCTACAGCAGCAGTGTGTTGTGTCCCTCTACAAGACTGACGTATTTCCACTTTGGCCCGCCGGCGGGGACGGTCGACGCGTCAGCTAAAGGAGCTCACGTGCACGCGATGACTACTAAAAACATGCTCGGGTCTTGTTGTACCGCTATCGACGGACGCCTTCTCATTGGCCGGCTGGCTGAAGTCAACACACGGGTACAGGCACACCAACCTATGAGCACGCATGTGCACTGCTATCGGCCAGCATGCGGGTTAGAGCCCCCTCTTGTTTTCCGAGCTGTTGGACGCTGGCATCGAAACAAGAAACAACGAATGACGTCGCATTTTGACTTTTGATGGTGGTGCGTGTCTTTCGTCTTGTTGTTTATTTTCTGTTTATCGCGGCCGTCCATCCGCCCGTCAGGTGCTCAAAGAGAACATGGACGACATCAACGCCAAGGTGGAAGAGCTAAGCGGTTGACGAGCACAAGTGGGAAGAAATGAAGAGGGGGGTATGCAGAGGGGAAAGGGGATTATCGGGGTAGCGATGGGGTGGGGGGGGCTCCCTTTCGCTCTGCCGCATCAGGCGAGCCCCTCCCGCCGCAGCCTCCCTCCTTGCAGTCCCCCCCCCCCCCCCCCCCCCCCCCCCCCCCCCCCCCCCCCCCCCCCCCCCCCCCCCCCC